TCGAACACCGGTAAACGTACATCTTACGGGGAAGCTTCTCGTTTCTTTTGAAATAAGCAGTTCGGGTATTCCACTTTAACGATTTTACGGTTGAATCGCATCGTGATAATAATTATTATTAACCGTGGCAATTTTCCGATTCGCCCGCAAATGGCAGGAAATAAAATTTCGTCGCAACATGCAAATTAGCGGGATAGTCGTTTCCTGATGTTACGATCAAACAATTGCCACTTTGTTACTGCGTCGATGATTTTGCCGCACCAGAAACCACGCGAATTGCGTGATCGACGTTAAAACGCGCAACATCGACGAAGTAGCACCTTACCAGTTTCATTGATCGTTTGATCGCGCCAATGAGTAGCATCCATCAGTCGTAACCTCAATTGTAATTTTTCACCATGTTTCGTACAAATCGAGTGTGACGCCTTGTAGCTTCTATGTATGTACATTTTCGAATTTGCAAATTTTACCGATGTACACACCGATAGTCGTGTCCTTACGATACGGATGAAATTTCAAAAACTTTTCTGTGAGGTATACGATATATCCGTTGTTGAGGTTGACCGATAGAAGAACGAGTGGATGAATTTGTAATAAAAAAATATATTTAAATAAATAAAGGTATAAGTATAATGTATAGGTTTATGCTGATCCAGATCCTCAGTCTCATAGTGTTGCAATACAATACAATCGATAGGGAGCACGTTCATATATTTCTAGCAAAAGGACATTACCAAAAAGATTAACCTTGTAGCTCTAGCTGAAGGCTACAAGAAACAACAATAGAAATCAACTTATAGCTCTTTTGTTTCTTTGTGACCCCAAACATAATTTATATTCAAGGGCACAATGATACGGACCTCTCCTTATTTCGAATATTTTTGTTTCACTAAATTCTATTTTCCGCGTAATAGCGGTCTCCAGGATATACATAAATAAAGTAGAGAGTGTAGAGTTTTTCTTGAACTAATTACTTCAACATCCGTAAAAATTGTCTATGACACGATGCAGGAAAATATGAGACCACTTTTACCGAGAATAGATCGATTTATCGTTTAATTAGTTAACAATCTGTTGGTATTACTAGTTAACAATGTTGCGCGTATTGAATTGAAGCACGAAAAGGTTGATTAAAGCTTAAATTAAGCTCAGTGAGGATTCTGAATAACTTTTGTTGAAGTACACCGACACATCGTCGAGGACAGATGTATAATAGCAGATGTGCGTTTCTATTCGAAAGAATAGCCTCTAGCTGCTTTATATAGTCAAAGCGATAGATAAAACTTTTATACGACCATTTATTGCCACTTTTTTTTTTTTTTTTATCTATAGCTGGTGAAAATCGTTGAATTTCTGGCTGATAGTCAGAATGATTGGAGAAGAAACGAGTCACGAGTGTTGCCGTGTTCGGATTTAGATCAAAAGAAAAAGCGTCCCTGCAAAGCTGGAGCACAGTTTCATTAGTCTAATGGGCCTCGACGCTCGAAACTCGAATTCTCGCGGTATAACGCCCGGACAAGCAATCAAAGCGATCGAAAGAAAAACCGCGGGACGTTTGAAAGCAGTTTCGCCCGGGCAGGCACGTAGCGAGGGAAAAAAAGAAGGAGAAGAAAACGAGGTGGAGGGAAGAACCTCGTTTTTAAAGCGTTGCCGGAGTAAACTCGTGCGCAATTATTTAATTGCGAAGCTTGTCTTCCCAAGACCCGGATCCGGAGCGAAAAAGAGCAGGACACTTTTTACCAACTCTGTCGCCGCTTTCGTGCCGCATCGCTCGTGACCAGATTTTTCCCTCTGCTCGCAGTAATTTGGGAAATTCACGCAACACTTCGACGCGATGTTCTCTGCTCGAGAACGCCTTCAAACTTCATTCTCTCTTACGAGGGTGACGTTTTTAATTAATTTGACGGCTCTTTTGCTAATTAGAGAAAATGAAAGAAATGAAAGTGCGACGCGCAAAATGGTTAACTCTGATGCCCGTGCAAAATTGTAACTCTTCTCCGCGTAGCACGCGCAGCTATTTCTACTTTTCGGGCTACAATTCGCTGTAATGTCGCTGTACTTTCACGTAGTTTCAAGTAATTTTCTCATACCATTGTAATCATATGGGCCGTTTATTCGGAAAGTGGTACGACTCCATTTTCCTTTGCTTTCAAATATTCAAAACGTTTACGTTCCCATCGATCGAAAAATCCTGATAAGGTCCGCTTGGTTTGTGCATGTCTCTGTGTGTTTAAGCAGATGCAAATTCGTTATACGAACAATATTTTTGCAGAATTAACTCGACCAATACGTATCTTTTTTTTGACACGCGAATAGACTTGCATCACGTTCAAAATTAGCGAATTGTACAATTCATTAAATTTTAATTATTTAAAGTTTACGTTCTATGCTTCGAACCACCTTTGCTATTATTTGAAAATAAGTAAAATAAAACTAAATAAATAAAAACTCTTATACTATTATTACGTTAGACTGCAGTAAACATAACTGTATCGCTATCAGATTCTACTGTTAATTCGAGGTTATTCATTGAGAAAAGAAAACTACTAGATAGCTTCTTCGATATTAGACTCGAGCATCGATACGGTTAATAAAGTAATAATACTTTAAATGTGATAATAATAATTCAATTGAAATCTAACGATTTAATGGCGATAACATTCGATAAATGTAATTGCAATTTACGAGTATATTATCGATTCGCATTTAAACAACGTGTTCATATGCATGGAATATTATGTCAGATACAGAGATTAGAATTTCATTCGCCATTATTTATTTTTGCTTATTGATGTATCGGTTATTTAAACAGGATAATAGATTACAAGAAATGGACTTGTACCACCTTCGAAATAAATGGTTGCGTAATTCCACGTATTAACGAAATTAACGAAATTTCAATCGATTGAAACAAAAGAACATTTTGTTTATCGTTTATTATTTAAACTATAAATCTTTTATCAATAAAAAGTTCACGTTAAAGTAAACAGTTTTTCGAAAAATGGACCTCAGTGAACGGTCCATATAAAATAACACGCGACGGATTACAAAAAGCTGGAATGTTCTGGTAAATGTGGAAGCGAAACTATCAGTCTACATCTAATCCAGCGAAAAGGGAAAATTCAGAAAATCTCAGGCATCTCGGTTTCGCAAACGAGCCTGCATATTGCGGTTGCCAAAATAATGGTTAAACAGGCTGCTTTCGATTTCCCATTATTCTCGATTACGCTGTGTATTCTAGTCGTTCAAAGAAAGCTCGTCCGGAACGCGTTAACCTCTCGTTTCCGGAGCCGAGATTCCTCCCGATCGGAGAATTAAAGCGCAGATTGCCTGTGCGGCTCTCATTCTCTGGAAAATTCTCAAATTTCACTCCGTCCGCCGCGATAAACGCTCAATTACGAGAATAAAGCACGCAACCCCAATGTCGACCTGACGAAACTCAACGTTAAATCGATTTCACGGATTCTTCTCGTGGAATCATTCGGTGTCGCGACCAGCTGAGGAATCTTAATTACCGAGACACTGAAATATTCACAGGACCCAGGTTGATCGAATCGTAACCGTAAATCAGAGGATTAAGCTACCTTCGCGCGATTGACTTAATATTATTAGTGTGTAGGAAGAGGGCTAATAAATCTTTTGAAAAAAAATGAGTCTCGTTCATTTACTCAGGATATACGCAAAGACATGAAAATGCCAACGGTCAAAGAAAAAATCGGTAGCTACGCAGAAAAATACAAGAAAAGAACGGCAACACATCGAAACCAGCTGGCTGCTGAAGCGAGCAAAACTCTCATAGAAAGAAGACTGAAAGGAAAACACCCCACTGACCTCGCTAAAGAAATAAAATAGTCAAATTTGGTAACCCGCTGGGGTAGCCATCCACGTGTTATTTAGCAATTAAGCAAGAAAAATTTATGTCCAGCTGAACAAATTGTAAAGTACAAATTAAATAATAAAAAAAGAAGTTCATTTACTCAAGTGTTTTATGCGACGAAGACGGCCGAAATTTCGGATCTGAATCTCTTGGTGTGTTCTCGACGACTGACTAAAACCAATCATCGGCGGTTCGATGACAGGGAATGTTTAGATTACCGACGCTCGGTTCGCTGCAAACACCGATGCCCGACGCGGTTCCTGAACAGAGATTTCCGCGTCTATTGCCTACAAGTGATATTTCACGAGTCGGAAATTACGGCTACTAGTCAATTTCCCCGCACAACGATGACGAATTTGGCAGAGAGGAAGATAAGATTCGACAAAAGAATTTTCTAAAGTACAGCAGAGCCCTGTTCATTTGAGCGGAACTTTAATTAGCGCCAGATCAATCGTTCACAGTCGGCTTCATTTCCAAGGAAATAGAGTTTGAACGTGTTTAGTCAAGAATTGGCCCAGTAAACGAGTACGATAAATACTCTAATTTATTTTGCCCGTAAACAGTGTCCTGAGCAAAAGATTTCTTCCGCGTTTCTCGAAAACGAAGCGTCGTATGAAGCAATTTTAATCTATAGCTTCTTCTAATCTTTTCGCAAGGAATCGTCTCATGTCCACTTGCACGTACATCGTGCGTGTTATTCGGCCGATCTCTGCATAAATGAAGTTCGATTTCCGGTAGATTCGGTCAGCAGAAGTACGTTGGATCGATCGTTAACTAAAATTTCCTCCTAACAAATGGAACCTTTGCCTACCGTATCGAAAAACGTTCGTCTCGGTCGACGTTCTCGATGACGAATCCCAGAAGGCTCGTCTTCTTTGGACGGTCGCCATACCGCGAAATGCTGCGTTTCGTCGATCCGCACACTGTGCAATTACTCATTATGTATATAAACAACGAACGTGTTCTTTCATGGCATGACGACCGGTTAATTTGGTAGAGGTTTGCGGTCGACGCGTGTGGCAGCGGCCAAGCGATCGAACGCTCTTACTATTTCTACTTGGAATCGAGCCTTCGTTCATCCAATCTGCCAGCATCTCGCCAGACTTCTCGCGCCGCTTTAGTAATCGAATCGCCTTCACCGTGCACGGATTCTCGCGTATTCTTCGACACCGGTGTTAAAACCGATGGGTTTCGAATTGACAGGTAAAGCAGAACCTCGAAGAAATTCGATGCAGCGATTGGCTGATCGCTGCGGGAACAACTAAAGAGTGGAAAGTGTATCGGAAACGTTGCAGCGAGTTTTCTCGGAGTCGGAGAAGCAAAGTCTGTCCGACCGAGTGGTTTCGCTCAGTTTGTGCTTCAAAGAAACGGACAGTGAAAGGAAAGAAAGAAAGAAAAGGAAAGGAAAGCAAAGGGCGGATAAAGAGAGGCGGTTGAGTCCTTCGCGGCATGGTACACTACGGATGCGCGAAAACCGACAGCGGTGGAGTCGAGTGCTTCGTTGAGTTCAGTGAGACACCACGTTGCTCCATAGTATCAGATCGTTCCATAAGTAATTTTCATATTTACGTGTGTAACTTTGAAAAATCTCGCGTCTTTGTCGCTCCTTTTGTTACAATTTTCGCAGCTTATAATGCGAAATCATATCCAACTCCATTTACAATGGCGCCGGTGACTTTACGAGTTACGCCGATGCTTTCGGAACAATAATGGCCAAATTCTTTGCAAAATTTAACGCGAATTCTTTGCTCAACGATACCGGTCATCGTGAAATGCGGCGCTCACGATTTTCGTCTTGTACGGAACGACGTACTCATAAAAGCGCTCATAAAAATCTCCCATAAATGGTAAAACCCTATTTTTCACAATAGCACACCCAAGTGGAAAGATATATCCACAAGTTGGTTGCTTTCAGGATAGAGTCCGTATAAAAACAGGAAATGTGATTTATGTTTTTCACCTGTGCCCTTCGATTATGCTCTTTTATTTTTCTCAACGTCGCTTCTACAGGAAATGAGCTTCGTCACGATGAAACAGGTTTACTCTTTTTGTCCACCGATATTTATCGTTTCTTCCGTATCAATGTCATTTTTAATCTTACTAACTGTTGATTATAAATTTCTACGGAATCAACGTTCGATCTTTCCTTGAAAAATTCAACGTGCGAAGTAAAATAAGTAAAATAGGACGTTACTTATGGAATGACCCGATACTTTCTCATTGTCATTGTAAAGTCGTGGCGAAATAAAAGAAATGAAGGAAAGGGGACGAAAGTTGTAACAATGAAACAAATGTTGCGTAGTTTCCGCTGTACTTTCTCTCTTTGCGACGACAGGAACGATAATGCGGCGTAGCCATGCATCTAGTAAATGCGATTCGTTTCAAAGTATCGATACTCGAACCGAGCTATTATTCGTCAACCGAACAGAGAAACAAAAAGAAAGATACTCTCTGCTCGTAACGCCGCGATAGATTCACGGTATAAATAATTTCAAGCGAGTAACGCTCGCGTTGCGCATCGCATGATCCAAAATAGACGCCATTTGCAGCTCTGTACGCGTCTGATTTGATAAACATTAAATCATCGACAATCGTACTTTTAACGCCGGATGTTTTGTATTACACCGTTGTCAGCTTTCGTCCCTTTAACGAACTCCCAGCTTATTAATGCGTATTTTAATCCACAAATAAACCGCCTGCCGAATCGTCCTCTTTTAAAATTCCGCTCGTGATTCCGTTGATTTCGTTGCCTTGGACCGTTTCCACACGGACGTGTACCCTATGACGAAGTATCGAAACAAATAGTAACATTCGCGTTTATCGTCGATGCGTGTATTTCCGTGTGAAACCGGCCTTAGGCTATCGATACACCGGAACACATTCGAATACAGAATGTTGCAATAACGACGATGCAATGGACAAGGCGGAGATTCTACGTGGAAAAATAATTCATTCACCGTAATCGCGGTCTTTAATGTCAACGCGAACGAGACTCGAACGGGTTAAATGATAAACTCAGCGATATTCGATGCCAAGATTCTCGTGATTTCGCGACAATGGGACGGTGAGACGGGGCGAAATCGCGTCCGGTGGATTTTGAAGAGCTTTCAAGAAAAGCAGAGAAACGCAGAGTGGTGCGATGAAATTAATGAGAAAGCCCGTGGATGGGTGGGGGGCGAATTACTTTTCTGGCAGCCGTTCCATTTCACGCGCAATTTACCGAGGACGATCCGTGCGCGCGAGAGAGGCCTTTGCATGATTGCTTTTGCACGCGGTATCACCGAAAAGGGACACGCGCTCGCCGAACGGAAGGAAATCGTCGACCGTATAACCAGTGACAAATCACTCCCATCGAACATCCATTAATTACTCGACCGAAACTCCAAACGTTTTCCATCCCTTTCGGAAAGAGATTGCGCTTGCGATACGTTCCACGTTCCATCTCGCCAGCCGATTCGATGGACGTTGAGATGAGCGTCGTGACTTCCGTTGCGTCGTGGCGTAACGTTATAGCGTGTTTAAAACTAAGCGAACGAATGCTCGTATTTCACTTTAGCAAAATTTTGTAACGACGAAAGTGTGGACGAACGTTCCGACGAAATTCTCGTACGTTACAGCAACCGGTTCGATGATTAAACGAATGAAATTTTGGGAAGTAAAGTTTTCGAATTACAAGTTATCCGATTATACAGGGCTACAAGCGGTAACTGGTGGTACAAACGGAAAGGGGGTGATTCTACGTGAAAAAAGAAGTCGAAAATATAGGATAAAAATTTTTCGTTTGTGGCTTTGTTTTCGAGAAAATCGACTTTGAATTTTCGTTCATCACGTCTCGTTATAACGGATCTCACTGTAGATCGTTGTCTCGATGGAAAAATTAAAAGAAAAATAAAAAAAAAATTTTTTATTCTATATTTTCGACTTCTTTTTCACCCCCTTTTCGCTTGTAGCACCAGTTACCAACCACTCTGTATTATTTGACATAAAATTCTACAGTTAAAGAAAGAACGTATAACTTGTAACTTGCAGACACCCTGATATTATTAGTCGATAAATTATTTTGCGAAATGATACTGTAAACGCTTGATAATCGCACGTTTATTTACATATTTTTTATATATAGTTAATCGAAACAACGTTCGCGAAATTGGACGTTTGTTGTGCAACGTTCGTAGGTAGCTTCGACCCTCTTATGACCGGGTTGTAATTCCTCCTGTAACCCTGCCAACGCCCGTCATTTTCCTTTTCTCTGGTTTATTTGTTGGGAAAATAGAGGACTCCTCGGTGGCACGCGTGGAAATGATGGACGACAACAAGGTCGGCGCAATGACGAGATTCGTGGAAGTGATCGCGACCATAGGGTCGTTTTTACTAGTGCTCGTTACGTTTCCTTTCTCGCTGTGCTTCACGTTCAAGGTTGTGCAGGAGTACGAAAGAGCCGTTGTATTCAGAATGGGAAGGTTGAAGAGCGGCGCTTACGGCCCAGGTAAATAGGCAACGCAATTTCACTTTTCTTCATTCCGAAACAAGCTGTTTGAATAATAAGCTCGTGATCGTGCTTTGAACGCGAGGAAACCTTCGACATGATTGAAATTCCGAACAGAGGGAAGCAGAAAATGGTTTAAATAATAGGGCTGAGCTGTATGAAATTTTATATTTAATTCACGTTCGTTTGCTTTAGCTTTATCCTCCGTTGACCGCTATATTTTAACTGTTGTCAAAAAGAAAAATCGAAGAGCAATTTACGAACACCGTGGGTTCGTGATACAATTTTTTCGATACTAATTTTAGCCAGACCACTGCTTACGTTTCGATATAGAAGCCGAAAATGATTGACAATGATTTTCGAAATACAACGTAAATAAATACTTGGGACATATCCCATCGTGTAACTTATCTAGCGAGTCGTGAAACGCTATGATACATTTTTGACAATAATCGAAAATAAGAACGGAACATTTGTGAAAAAGAAAATTCGATAATTCACTGGCGCATAAATATTTTGGAATAAATCTTTATTTATTGGCAGATACCTCGATATGGCAATAAATGCTTACCGAATATGACCACCGAATTTTTCAATTAAAAATTTTTGCTCTGCTATATGATTTTCTACAGATTTTCCGAATATATCAAATTAAGTACGACTTCCTCTTGTTCTCGATTATTGAATAAAAATTAATTCATTTGGCGCTCGATACTCGTTTATATATCGGAACGAGATACGATATTTATTTATCTGCGCATTTAACAAACACCGTGTAAACGTCATAAGTGCAACGTATAAATCAATATTTGCTATATAAATTTAAATACTTGTAATTACTTGTTCAATTGGAAAATTTCACGAAAATATATTCACCTTCTCGTAAGTCGAACGCTGCAACAATTGCGTTCGATTTTGTGAAAAACGACAAGGCGAATATTTGTTAACCAAGCGATGCCATGGTTTAACAGGGACGTTTTTCGTGATGCCATGCGTGGACAACTGTGTGCGCGTCGACCTGAGGACGGTGTCGTTCGATGTTCCACCGCAGGAAGTTCTCACCAAAGATTCCGTCACGGTGAGTGTCGACGCGGTCATCTACTACCGCATAAAGGAGCCACTGAATGCCGTAATCAAGATAGCCAATTACAGGTACGTGAAGTTCGATCCCATCGATTCGTTGGTTTGAGCGAATCAAAGCAGAAAATATCGAAAGCATAGAATTACACTTTAATTAAGCAAATGAAATACACGACAGCATTGATCTCGTACAAATATATCGCTAATTGCAAGAAGCCAAACTAATCTCTACTTGCATCTTTGTAAATTTTCAACATTTGATTCGAAATACAGTAGGATTCCATTACAATGTAAATTTGAAACCAGTAGAATTCTATTTCTCTGAACTCGTACAAGTTCATCAATTTCCCCCACTGCCTGTTACCTTTCGTTCAAATAAATCAATTCAATATGCGAAAAATCCTCCTATTGTAGATCGTTGGACACAGTTACGTTTAGCTGCGGTTGTAGCGACGCTAGTATAACAAGATATACAACATAACGTGAACAGCGCGTCGTTTTGCCTACGTTTGTTACGATTAATGATATAACATCGAACGTTTTTCGAAATTTTATAAGAACGCCACGCGTTAGTTTGGTTAATTTATAAATGGCTGAAATCAAAACTGACGTACATACACGTCGATCTCATCGATTATTCTACTCGAATAACCAGTTGTATATGACAGTGATAAAATTATAAGGTCAACAAAGCACCTGATCTTGTATAATATCAGAATGAACACGAGGTTCTCGCTTGTGACCGCATAAACCACATAAAATTTTTAATTGCGGTAATACCGTAACCGTGTTTTTCCCTTCTAACCTGGCAAAATGGACGCGACACGCAGAAAGCGTGCTAATGCGTCGCGAGGGAGACGGAAGTGGAACCGTCCGAGGAAATGTACGCTATCGTAAAAGAGATTTCATCCGCGTAATGCAAATGGCTGGCGAAAGGACCAGCGACAGCTCGTTGAAAGACTCGTAACATTTAGTTTTCTGTTCCCCTCGCGCCACCTTCTCTTTTTCTATCTCTTCTCGCCCGCGTATCACCAAATACAAACAACGAAATGAAAACGCAGGAACGCGACCGTGTTATAGTACGATCCAACGAGGGAAAAAATGACGAGGAGTCGAGGTGGGAAAAAGAAAGGACGAGAGAAGGAATGAAAATTACCAGTCACGATTTTCTCTTGGTTTGAACGAAGCAACGAAAAAAAAATAATACACTGGATGTGACGCGACATCATCGCGCAATTTCCTCGGTGGCGTCGTCACACCGAATTGAAAGTTCGTTTGTCGACCATTTGCACGTGAATTTCACCGAAATTCCACGCGAAAATTGCTTATTAATTTATTCTTCGACGTAACGATCGATCTCCCCTATTCTCGCGTTATTAACTTTTTCGAGTGACGAAACGTTAATCGAAAACGACGTTTGATGGAAGAAAAACAGAATCAAAAAATTAGAGAAATACAACGATTCAGAAAAGTCTTGGAGACAATTTTTACAAATATAATATACGCGTTATATGAAACATCTTGAAACTTCATTAACGTTGCAATTTATGCCGACTCGTATATTTGCGATTATTATTAAAGAGAATTGTTTTGTCTATTAAATATTGTAAAAATTAACAATTTATATGAATATATTTCATCGTTTCATAATAAAAACGCTACGAACTTCTCGAATAATCAAATATCTTCTAATTCCTGTATACGTTTTCAAATTCATTGCGCCATTTTATCAATATAATCGTGATATTTTATCAATATGAGGACGTATCGTGTTTTATTACATAATGGAGCGCGATATAATGCAGCGTATTATCATAATAGAATAACGACGTCGTTAAAAATCGCGTTTTCTTACAACGCCGACGAAATTTCAAAATATTTTGTGCCACGGGCATGATATATTCGTAAAAAAATTCATAAAAAATTTCTCTGAGAGATCAAATACTCGGATGAGCCACTACGAAAAGAAATAACAGTGACTCTCTCTCTTTTTCTCTTTCTCTCTCTCTCTGTTCGTCATATTTGCGGTTTGAATTAAGACGAAATGGGACATAGGTGACGAAATTTTTGAGACACGGCGAATTAATTAGAACTCCTTGAACGACTGGGTTAATTAACGCGAACACTATTTTCTGAAATTTTAATTAGCATCAGGGGAGCCGTACAGTTCCGAGAGAACGGAGCAGAACCATCCGGAGAGGGAATCACCGATGCTGGAGAAAAATGCGAGAGACAGCTCCTCGAGGAATTACGAGAGCGTGACAAAATTACTTGGATAATTTGCGCCATGCAGAGAAAGAGCCTGATTAATTGCGTAAAAGTTGCGCCGGCACGATCGACCTGGAAATCTCGGCAATTGAGTCCGCTGTCGACTCGCGTAGTGTTCCTGTCTAGTGTTCAATAATTCGAGGCAAGAGTTTCCGTTGTTTCGATGATGCAACGCGTTTCTAACAAACTTCATCAACCAGTCGTGTTTTTATTCCTTTTTTAAAAAGGAAAAACATCAATCCATATTGTTAGTTTAATTACTAATAAGGAATCGATATCAGACGGAAGCTAAAAATTAGTAGAAAAATAAGGTTTATCGTGGCTCCTAGTAAGCGAGAATTTTCGTTGCTTGCGACGATGCAACGCGTTTCTAGGAAATTCAACGAACGTGTTCCTCTTCCTTCTTTCATCGAGAATAGTATTTGAAAAAAGTGCGGTTAGTTTAGTTGCTAATAGGAGGCAGGGGACATCAGAAGGAAGGTAGAAATTGATAAAAAGATAGGATTTAATGCTCCGCTGAGTGAGAACGGGCTGGCCAATGTCCTGTCCTCGTACGCACGTTTTTAAACCACACACGTGACAGCCTCCGCGAAGCGGCCGACGTTTAATTAACTAGAGCACGCCAGACTGATGTTCAATTATGGAAAAGACGTCGGCGTAATTGTACGAGTATTCATGCTGGCATGACACGAAATTTGACAAAATTCCCCGCAGTACTAATTACGACGTTAACATACTGCTTTTTCCTATGTTCGTTTCTATAAGATGAAATTACGTTCCGCTTTAGTCAATGTCCCTATTACTTTTCAGAAGTAAATTCTCCACATTGATATTTATATTTCGCATAGCTGAACGTTAGAACTAGAAATAGAATCGATACATACTTTTATTCGTTTTACCAATTTTTTGGATTTTGGAGAAATCAATACGAAGGTTGCTGTTCAAATTGTCCTGGCTATTATTTGGTGGTTTTAGCGTTAATAAAAGAAAATTCATGATGTTACAGTCACTCTACTCGATTACTGGCGGCTAGTACACTGAGAACGGTACTCGGTACGAGGAACTTAGCGGAGATCCTCTCGGAACGTGAAACCATTTCCCACACCATGCAGACGTCTCTGGACGAAGCTACGGATCCTTGGGGTGTCAAGGTCGAACGCGTGGAGATGTAAGTACACTCGATACAATGGCTAATCGAAACCTGACGCGGCGAATTTCTTCCTGCTGGTTGAAAGCTTCGTTCTTTAAAGCATCCCAACAACACTTAAAAGCTGGAACATCCGCTTTAAACGCGGCAAACAACGAGCCCACGATTCGTAACGAGTAAAGCAGGCGTCAACCATGGTTGTTCGCCGAGGTAAAATCGGAAAGTTGGTTAAAAGGAAAGCCGAGACGAGTTCTCGAAGAGATACTATGTCGTTCGTCACCGAATTAACGTCCGATTGATCAATCATCGTGCACGGAATGCCTATTTACGTTCGAAGAAATGTTCTCTGCTGCTTTTCACAGACCGCCGATAGTCGATTGGAAATCAGCTTGGCTAAATACAATCAAAAATCAGTCGCCGTGAAGAAGAATGGTTCGTGGCGTCGTATCGATCATGGCGAAACGAATGAATGCTTGATGTATAAGCCAACGATAAATACCATCTCACGCGGAAGAGAGTTCAATCGACGCGGTTACTCTACGATGCGAGTATATCCCGTTCCATTGAACTTGCTGGAAAGAACATACGATGAAAAATGTGTGTGATCGAGATGTATCGACAACCTCGATGAAATCATTCGACTTCTACGGTGGACGCGATATCGGGGGAATTTTCGATTTCGTGTCAATTTACAGCGAGAATGCGAGTTCTACTTTATTGTAATAACTATCTGAGAAAACGAAAATGATATCTATGTTTGTTTAAAAGTGTTCTTATTTCAGTTAGATTGAACTTTCGGAATATAGCACAATAGTAACGTGATGCATGTTGGAAGGTAGGAACAGGTGGGGTATAATTTCAGTTATGCTTGCGCGCGGTCGCGTTTCTTTGATGCAACGAGCTTAAGAACGTCGAGACGTTGAAGAATACGTCCCACGGGAAACGAGAACCACTCTGGTAGACCGTGATAACTCGATGGCACTCGAGGCTGTGCATGCACGTAGTTAAATACTCGTATGTCCCGGAATCGTCACAAAGCTGAAACCGTGCTATCTTTTAAGAAGCTAGCTCAAGAACTATCCTGAGATACCAGTCGCGACGTGAAAAGCTGCTGCGTTAAAATACCTAGACTATAGCAGAACGAATATATCAGACACGAAATATTTTATTTTCCTTTCATTTATTTCAGTTTAGTTGAACCGATATCTCGATCTTTTATTATTCTTCGTTATTCGTATTACGCTTGATCCGATCGTAACGTTTCCTCTCGTTTCTATTTTCGATCGATAACATTGATATCGCTCATGAGAAATCTAAATCATTTCAATAGTGTCAAATAATACACAAGTATATTAATATACAAGTATGGGGTCTAAGAGTTCTCTTGCAACTTCAATAGCTTTTCTCAAATCCTATAACAAAATCAAATTGTTATTTTCGAGCCTTTTCGAGCCTATGAGAAAGTGAAGTGTCAAAGGGAAGTTGGTCTACGCGATACACGGCGAACGTAACATGTTGAGAAGGGTGCGTGCGCTACGTGAACGCACATAAACGCCAGTATTCGAGGGTGGCTGCGATCCCTCGACGAGATGTACGAAAAAGAAGAGCCCTAGTCTCGACGTTCATAACGTCGCGCGCCCCAATAGGAAGAAGACACTGATGCCGTCTATTTCTAAAGATGAAAAAGGTTCGAGTACCTTTCTAAAGAGGCCCTTTGCGAGGACGTGAAAGACCTGCGAGGATCACTGTACGAGTGGCATTCATATCTGCTACTTCCTGTCGGGAGAATGATATTTCTTACGATGTTAAGGTGGAAGATCAAATTCGAATACTCTAGATTTTGACGCAGCTGATTTTATGACCACGCTATATCCTTTCCACCTAATACACGTCCTAATAGATTTCCGTCGCATGAAATTTGTCGAGATGCAAACAGATGCATACGGATCGTTGCGGATAGTTGGAGACTTTTAATGATTAAGTGGAAGAAAGCAAAGTCGGAAGTCTATTTATACCGCTGTCAACTGTACCGGATGGCAAAGTGCATTTTGGCAACGTATGTATTGCATAAAATATCGTCGCGCTCGTATATTTGGATTAACGTTCGCAACGTATCTTGTTGTTTTAAAAATGACCATCGTCTGGCGAATGGAGAAACGTAAAAGGCAGACAGAGTGCATTTTTATTTCGGCCGAGTGTAACTAGCCAAAGAAAGCCGTGCTTTTTTACCTCGACCTAAAGCCACTCTTAAATGTATAAGCCGTCACGTATAGCGTGCGAGCGTATACGAGGCGTAACTCCGCTTGTCGACGGACAAACAGATACGATAATCGCAGAATTTTTGAACCGTCTGCGACACCTGCCACCTCGCCGCGTCCTCACGAAAATACGAGATACAAAGTTGAAATTATTCCAACCAACGAACTCCGATTAACTTCCTGTATTGGGCAATGTTAACTTTCAGAGTATGGAACGTGGTGTCCGGCGACTGGCGATTTAAATAAAAATTATAATATATAGGATGTTTGGCTACAGGTGTCCAGGAAATCTCAGGAGTGATTCTTGAAGCCAAAATAACACGAAAAAATTGCAATTTCGATTGCTTTGTTTTTTAGTTATCGACAATTAAAAATCAACCAAAATATCCCTGCACACGGGCAAACCTCCTTACACGAACGAAAGCAGGTCAGCCTAAGCAGCGGGACGCACAGTGATCCTCAAATCGAACGACGCATGACCATGATATTTAGAGACGTTTTGCAAAAGAAATGATAGATCGAACGTTAAATGTTTATCGATGGAAATCCGTAAGGTCATATCGAAAATTACCCTATGAAATTTCCAAGTAGAAGGGATTAACATTTCCTCTAACCCTATGACTCCATAATTTATAAATAAAAAAGCGTATTGCGAATGTTCCTAAAAGGTATACATAGATGAATTGATACGAACACCTAGTCAGGATCGCAGCCAATTAGCTCGTATTACTTGCCATATAACTAATAATTATATCAGTTATACAGTTAATTGCTTTGCTATATAGCGATACAATTAGTAATTATATATCAAATAATACTGATTGCCCGGGTCTCACCACGTGGAGGTGCTGCGAATGGAGACCCACCCTATCCGCGACCCATCCACCCTCCTTTTACGTAAAAAAATCTAAAATTTATCTATCATCAAATAAATGCTCCTTTTGGTATTCGTTTGCACAATGTTCGAAGCACACAGCAAAAGGAGCTTTAAGAAGAAAAACCGACGCGAAAGCTAGAAACCTGACTAGGATTCATGAAAACGTGAAATCTACAAATTGATCTAATTGTAATTCCATATGGGACACTGCTTCATATATATTCACATATATATATGTACATTAAAATTTTCGATTTTTATTGTCGTGTGAGGGATGAAAATTAATTGATTTTAATTTACAATTATAATAATTAATTATGATTAAGAGTTAAACAAAAGGGACGAGAGAATAAGATGAAATATGTGCCATATAGAATTAACTACTATACAACATATAGATACATTCTATAATGCTATGCTTTTACTACCACACCATGCTTTCACTACGATGACATACTTCTTACTGCTATATCAACCTATTTACTACCTACACCTTATCTACTTACTTAGATTACAACCTCAAAGTAGCCTACCTAACCGTAAATCACACGTACGTAATAATCTAAATGTAACAAAGGAAAAGGAAAGGGACATCGTATGGGGTATGACTCCTCATGCCTTGATATCACAAAACACCCTCAAACAAATTCTATCCGCGAAAGATTAGTAAAATTCTATAAAATATGTATAATTATTGCCTGATTGGTAAGGCTCAAACATTATTTCGTAATATTAGCTTCTTTCTTTAGTTCACTTCCTTTATTTCTCTCATTGTTTTGAGCCTTAAGCATGCTACATATTTCAGATGTTATGGAATATTCAAATATGTAATTGAAATGTATTTTTTGTAAATTGATAAATCAGAAACAAACTCATTTACTGGGTTAGTATATAAAAGAAACAGGAATCTCTAAAACGAAAACATTTTATACATAAAACTAAAGTACTAATGATCAATTAGATGAAATTAGTCTTGATTAAATTTTAGCAAAAATTGAGAATCATTTGTATCTTTTTAATCGAAAATGGGAAGTTTGAGAACAAGAATTTTAAGTAATTAAATTTGAAATGAATTAAAATTGAAAATTTCATTTGCATACTAAGATGAGAAAAAAATCGATTATTATAAAATCACATGCTTGGTCTTTTAACTTTTACTAGCTGTTATTTCCTACAATATAGTGATTTTCCTGTCACTAAGGCAGAGATGTTCTTGGGGCGACTTACAAACCCAAAGAGTTGTATAGTGTACGCTGATCCGCACGCACAGTTGGAATACGTGCGAGCGAGTACGACACGCGACAGTTTGAAAGAACTCAGTGATCTCGAACCGATAAATCGCGAGTATAATTTCTCCAGTGGGATTAGCGAGGGAAGAAAGACGAGATTTCTCATTTTTCGTTCCAAGATGGATAAGTATCGCTGTACAGAATGGGCTAACAATACATTTAACGCAGGTATCTAGCTTACGATTAATTAAGGCTGAAACCCACACATCGCACGATGTCCAAAGGTGTCCAATAATGTTCAACTGTGTACAACCGTGTCCCATGGCGTCCCACGGTGTCCCACGGTGCAGTCCAGTCTAGATCATCCAAAATT